TATTATTACTAATAAATTTCTCTTCTCACATAATGTGTGTCATATTTAATTAAAAATTTGTACACGATTTCCATTGAATTACTTGTCATATATATATATTTTTTAAAATTATGATATAAGCATAAAGTATGATTATTGTTATTACTATACTACTGATTATATAAGAAACGAATGACTGAAAAAAAAATTATGTATATCGATGGCATTCAGTATTCACTTTAGATTAGATGTTTTATTTTTTCGTAATTAAGTGGTTCAAGGTAATACTGTAGTGAAGGAGAACACAGGTGAGGGCAACCGAATTGTATTTAACGAAAATTACAGAGTTACTCAGTAAAATCGGAAAACCATATCGTAGCCGTTAATTTGCAAATCTTCAATCAATCATCAATCCATTGTCTGACATTTCACTATTCATGCGTTTCATACAAATTCCATTGTGTTCCCACTCTTCCTTTCTTGATCCTCCCCCATCTTCTGCTGCCAAACATTACGTTTACAGTCGCGTCATATACTACTTATAAGTAGCGCGCACCACAATAACATCATTTTGGACTGTGTTAACTTAGAGGTTATTTTTTAAAAAATTGCGCAATGTATTACTTGTTATGCTCGTCAATTGATATGCTTCAATGCTATCATGAGTTCACCTTACTCGGTAGACGAGAGTGAAGACAAATGATCCAGTGACATGATAGGCTACTCTGATCCCGTGCTCTGTCTAACTGACGAAGTTTTGTAAAGGCGTAGAAAGTGTGTTCTACAAGCTCCCAGGAAATATTAGGTTGACAAGCACACAAATCGTGTTTAATTATACATCATAGAAACGTCCTTGAGAGAGCCACAAAAATAGTGTACTAAAATAGACAACATCAACCAATGAAAGTCAAGGATCTTCCGGATGGGAAATGTAATCTCAAGGTCAGCTGATCAGCCTTTAGATAAAATCCAAAATTAGGACTTTTATGAAGTGAGTTCTGAGGATCTAACGTCCGCAACGTTATAAAAGAAAAAGGATATTCAATTTGTTTAGAATGTGACATGAGTACTCGTTAAATGTGGGATGATTAAATTTAACAGTAGACTGCTAGTATCGATTCCTTTTCATTTAAGATCGTAAAATTTAAGTTGTACTTATTTGAATAATAGATTGCATTTTGAATGGATTAAAATGTTACTTTAACATTGAACAAATTTACATCAATCAGCCATTTATCTTTATTTTTTATACATTGAAATTATCAATCAAATCATTGTTAGACCACCATTAAAAACCTAGAAGTACTGTAGATTGATCAGAGTTATACATTGGCACCGTCTGATGCCGGCAAAGTGGTTAGGTATTCGCGCACAAGACCGAAGGTCCTGGGTTCAAGTCCTGAGAGTTGCAGGAGTCGTGGATACTCACTATCACTGATGGGTTCCATACCCCGACGAAACGGCCGTCCAGTGTATTCAGGTTTCTAATGGTGATCTAACAATGATTGATTGATGATTTCAATGTGCAAAAAACACTAATCTCTTTAACTCTAATTGGAAATATCATAAAATATGTTCACTAGTGACAAGCTTTGTGAGGAAATTCTCGGAGTTCTAGTGAGAAGACGTGACTGGTGGAGTTCAACCCTGTCGGGTGTAGGCAGTAACTACCAAAGACAAATGGGTGAGGTCTCACGAAATCCACAGATCAATCAGAGTTGGACATTAACAGCGCTGGATGCCGGCCCAAAGATCCAGAGATTAGGCATTCACGCACGTGACCGAAGGTCCTGGGTTCGAATCCTGTGAGGTGCAGGAGTCGTGTATGCTCAATATCACTGATGAGTTCCATACCAGGCTGAAACGGCCATTCAGTGCTTCCAAGTTTCTAATGGTGGTTTAACAATGATTTGATTGATTTCAAGTGTGCAAAACACACTAATCTCCATAACTCTAATCGAGTATTCATCTTTAGTTTTGGTATAAATTCATAGATGTGATTGTGTGACAGATATCTGCTGTTGAAATAGTGCGTGAATTTCATTGTTATGATAATTAATGTATGAGATTTAATTTTGATTACCAGTAATTTTGTGTTGTTTTTTCTTGTGAAAAACCGTTTATTCATACACCAACTTGTTAATGATCACATGCCTTCCTAATCATAATATGCCTATTGTATTTTAAATACAAAAAATTAATTGATTACATCAATATACAAGTGTAATTTATTAGTCTGTAATTTTAGTATACGTTATTTTCAACATTTATCTGTTTTTAGAAAAAGGTAATAAATAATGTCATAATTTTCTAACTTGAACTACATCAAGTGCTAACTCCTAACATTATCCTTATGTGAACCAAACATCCGTTAGTTAACTGAATTGAAAATGTTGAACATTTCATAAGAAAAAAAAACTATAACATCTAATGGTTTACTGACTGAATTATGCCTGTTACTTCCGATGGAGCCTAAGCCTCGAACCAGAATTCTCCAGCCTACTTAGTCTCGGGCCTTCCTTTCTAGTTCTATCTAATCGGTATACACAATTCTCATGTTTGTCTCCATTTCTAAGCGCAATGTGTTTTCGTTGGTCTTCCTCTTTTCCTTTGGCCTTAAGGATTCCAAGTGAGGGCTGGTCTTGTGATGCAGTTAGGTACTTTCGTCAATGCATGTTCTATCCACCACTAGCGCTTGTTTTATTGTATATAGGTTGATATAAAACAAATTTATATCACAAATTAAATGAATTTACAATTTTAGGTCGGAAATATGAAAGTTTTATGTTTCTCATGAAAAATGAAAGCCATGATTGAGACGTTATAAAGGTTCGCTAATGATAACCGATAAGAAACTTGTAACCAGGAGGAAACTTTACAGCTGCCCAAGTTTAAAACGTCTTTACATAGTAACTAGGTTTCCTAAAGTTGCGAGACTTGAAGGTTTTAGGTTCATTCGCTGGTGGAGTCATGTATATGAAGTATTGAGAAGTCACACACCTGAATGAAAAAGCTACTAACCAGTTCTTGGGTTTTAATAGCTATCTATGCTATAAACCGAGAGAATCATTTTTCCGTTAGTCTCTTGGATCATTATTTATCATAACGTTAACTACATTTCCTTTCGATTTCATCATTTAACTGTCAGAATTACGCGTATAAAATTGTATTTCTTTGGCAGCTACCCACCAAAGACAGTGGATGAAGTAGCTCAACACTGTGGATTGATCAAAGTTAGACATTAACACTATGGGATTGTAGGCTTAGTTTTCTGGAGGTTAGGGGTTCACATTCGAGACCAAATGTTCTGAGTTTGACTTTAGTGTGCAGGGATTGCGGATGCACACGGTGAATGAGTTCCATGCTAATAGGAAACGGGCGTCTAGCACTTTCAGGTTATTTTTCTAATGGTTGACAACATTGATCGATTCATGATTTCTAGGAAACCCTACAATCTATATGATAAAGTATACAAAATGAAAGTATGTAAAATGAAAGCTAATGTCTCTTTGAACTTGACTAATCTATGAATATAAAAAACTACTGGTTCAGTGAATGATAGCAACACTCATTCAGGACAATGTTCAAAAATAAAGTTTCTAAGTTCATCATCAATATTTAACATGGCACCTACTGATATAAACATGGCTAATCCTACTATTTTTTTTTCTACATTGAATGAATCATATTCTGATGGAGAATGTAACTCTATAAACGTAAAAGCATTGGGCGATTCTATATTGTTAGTTTTCTGAGTGATTCTTTGTAGTTGAACTTACAGCATGGTATTATATATATGATCAATTAGAGGGAACAACTGAGTTCATTAAACCTTAGCCACGTTGCTCTTTCGATAGTCAAACTTTTGCACGCTCGTGACCTGTCAACAATCAAACCAGGAATCTCTTATGCTGTATGTTAAATTCGAGTACGGTTGTAGTCTACAGAGAGCAACAATGAATCCATCAGGACTTCACCGATTTATGATTCTTGATAGTTCCCTAGTTACACATTTTTGAAACCATGAATCAATCAATGTTAGACCACCATTAGAAACCTGGAAGCACTTCACGGCCGTTTCATCCTGGTATGGGACTCCTCAGCAGTGCGTATCCACGACTCCTGCACCCCGCAGGATTCGAACCCAGGACCTTAGGTATTGTAGTCGAACGCCTAACTATCGGACCACTGAGCCGGTATCTAACGGTGTTAATGTCTAACTTGATCAATTCACGGTTTTATGGTTTCAAAAATGTGTAACTTAACAATCTTCACAACCCCGTAATGCAAGTTCCCTAGTTGATATCAGTTTTGTGAAACCAGTGTCTACAAATCTCTCAATAAATAACGAATTTATATATATATATATATATATATACATTTAAACAAGATTTTGTGCTTCTTTCAAATCTTCTCTCTCTCTCTGTATATCTAATAGAAATGTAGTTGTTTTCTGTAATTCCTATTGGCCGACCAATCCTAAACCATAGATACTTAACAGTCAAAATTTTGTCACCTCATCTTATTCCATATACACATTTCTTCGTGTATAGTTAGTTGTTTTCTACTCTTTATCTAATTTCTCTTCTTATCTCTTCTACTCGGTCTGATTTTTCATCGAATTAACAGAAATAAAAAGATACAGGGAGATAAATTTTTTCAAATTTCTATTTTTCTTTTTTGGATTAGCGAAATCAGAAAAAGTAGTCTTTATTCCCTTCAAAGATGAAGAAAACTACACCTAAATAGGGAAGAAAATTTTACACAGGGGATGAAAATATTCCATAAATTTTCCTTAAAATTTATATTATCAAATCTATTTGTCTCTGATAAATGAATAACAGAGACAGTAACTAGAAGTGTGAAAATTATAACTGTCTTGTAGATAAACAGTTTTTGTTATGTATCAGTCAACATTAAGCATCTTTCATTCACTAAGTTAATATACACATATATACATATATATATGTATAGGTAGGTCTATGAGTTTATTAATTTTCATGAAAAGCATTCAGTTATCAATGTTCAATAATCCTAATGAATTTTCTGCGAAAAATAATGTCAACTATTTATTATTTATGAATAAATTGAAATCTATTTGGCCTACACCATTAATTGTACCGCCTCCATGGGTACTTTTACGTTTATTTCAAGAAAGATCGGACAATTTGAATATATTATCTAATAATCATAAACTCAATGAAGAAAATCATACATTTTCTTCGATTAAGTAAGTTTCAATGTGTACAATGTTTTAATGAGTTCCATTTTATGAGAAATCTTCAATGATTTCTAGAAAATATATATACCCTTATGTATCACACTAAAAAGTATTCAATTTTCAACTATTTTTAAAATTAATTCATGATAATCTTATTTAAAATGAAAATCAACTTTTTCATGTAATTGAATGTGATATATATTCAATTGTGAAATTGAGCACTCATCATCACTATTACTTAGTCCAATCATAAAAAAGATCAAAATTTGTTTTAATTTACAACTTGTCAATAATAATCATTTATTCAAATATCAATTCTAAATTACGTAAATGTATCTCTTGAAAATAATTCGTGCTTTTAATCAATAGTTTTTCTCTAAAAAAAATACCTAACTAGTAAGCTTAATAAAAGTTAAATTTTCGGGCCGAGTTTTGGAGGTTTTGTGTTTTTACACATTTGAAATCATTGTTAGACCATACCATTAGAAACCTGGAAGCACTGAAATATGGCCGTTACGTCCTGGTATGGGACTCATCAGTGGCGGCGCGCATCCACGACTCCAACACCTAGCGGGATTCGAGCCCGGGACCTTCGGTCTTGTGCGTGAACGCCTAACTTCTGAACCACTAAACAGGCATCTAACGGTGTTAATGTTTAACTCTGAAATGTAAGGGTAATTAAGTGAGATCACTAGTAAACTATTGTTTTTTTTGTAGTGTTTGAATCTGTTTAATTTAGTGTTACAGTTAGACACTTTAATGTTGAACTGTTTGGATTATGGCTGACTAGGTGGATTGTTCAGACTACTTACTCAACTAAACGTTATTATGTTAATCATTTCTGAAAAATAATAGAACATATTAGTGTTATACCTTTTATAATGTCCATTAAAGAATCATAATACTAACGTTTCTATTTTGAAACTTTATAATTGAGACATATGTCTATTTGTACATAGATTGTCTTCTGTTACCAAACTTCATGAATCTGTTCGAACAATATTTATGATCATTGGAGAACACTTTAGTAAACGTATACTCTTGATTCATTTTTATTGTGAATATTTCGTCATCATCTTATTGTGTATGTAAGATGAGGTGTTCAGACAAGAAATTCTCTTGGGGATCCTCAGAACTCACTTGATAAAGGTCCTAATTTTGGATTCTATTCATGGGCTAATCAGTTGACCTTGAGATTACATTTCCCATTCGGTTTATCCCGGACTGTCATTAGTTCATTGATTATTTTGGTAAGCTATTTTTGTGGCTCTCCCTAGGATGTTTCTGTGATGTATAAATAAACTCGATTTGTGTACTTGAAAATCTCATATTTTCTGAGTGCTTGTAGAATACACTTTCTACGCCATATCAAAACTTCTTCTTCTACTTAGTGTGGCCTTGGGACGCTCGAATTAGAGTAGCCTATCGTGTCACTGGATCATATGTCTTCGCTCTCGTTTACCGAGTAAGTTGAACTAGTAATAGTTTCAAGCATATCAATTGACGAGCATGACAAATTTAAAATCAAGCTATTTACCAATGGTTTGTCATTTGTAAGGTCTTTAGAAAACGTAGTACTGTCATACTATTTTACCAGGATGCAACTATATGTACTTTTCAAAGTATATTCATACTATACTACTCATAGATAGTAGTATATTTTCAATTTTTTTCTGTTAATTATTGTTATAGCGCAGTGAAAATTAATGATAATCAACTAACTGGATTCAATAAATCTTCATCGTTTCCTCCAAATGTTCATAATTCTACGTGTAGTAGTAATAGTATTAGTAATACTGTTAAACTTGTGAACAATAACCCAAAGATATCTAAAGAAACCACTAACAAAACTGATAATAATATTGAACGTGAACGTAGTTACAGTTGCCCACAATGTGCAAAATGTTTCACATCAAATTCTGGATTAAAACAACATATGCATATACATGCTTCGTTTAAACCATTCACTTGTCAGGTTTGTATAATTGTTTTTAATTGTTACTATTGAATGATTGAATAGTACATGTGTATTAAGATTTTTTCGTTGAAAATACTCGACTTTAAAACAACCATATTCAATTGTCAATTTATCATATGCACAGTTAAACAAAACAGTACTGTAATGTAACAGGAAAGATAAGTGTCGTGTGTTTCATGTGTACTTAGTAACTAGTTAAAACATCTAGAAATGTGTCAACATCAAGTTATTCTTATCATTAACTATTTCATAGAAAATTAATTTGTACAAAACTAGACTTTAGTCTAATTGTAGTGATGGAGAACATAGGTAGGGCAACCGAATTTTATTTAACGAAAATTACAGCGTTACTCAGCAAAGTCGGAACACCATACCGTAAATCGTTAATTTGCAAAATATCAGTTCATCATATCGAACTGGACTGTTCCTGTTGCAAAACATCAATCCATTGTCACTATTCATGCGTTTCATACAAATTCCATTGTTTTCTAACTCTTCGTTTCTTGATCTTCCCCCATCTTCCGCTGCCAGACATTACGTTGACACTCACGTCATATACTACTTATAAGTAGCTCGCACCACATAATCACTTTTGAGTAAAAATCACGGTAAATCTGTTCATTTCTCATCAAAAAATAACCACGAGAAATCGATTTTATTGAACTATGAAATTTTATGCTCTAACTTATTATGAATAAGTTGATTAATGACGATCATTTGATTAGTGACCTTTTAGATCACTTTAATTAAAAAAAAGACTTACGTGTTATAGATAACTATTGAATACTAAATACATTGGACAACTTCTCATCGGTGTAACTCAAACAGTAAAGACAGACAGATACAACGCAGAACTTCGTACATAAGTACATCAGTTCAGGTTGCCATACCACGTCAGCGCACAGAGACGTAACTGTCAATTCAAATCCAAGAGTGATAGCGATAGTGGAATTGTTAGCAGTAATGAAGAAGATTATGGATCGAATATATGATTCGAGAAGTATAATTCAGTGAGATAAATTTAGAAGAAGAAAGATAGAGATTATGAGGAATTCAGAAGGTTAGAATTAGGGAGAACACAAAAAGTCGATGCACCTACGCCATTGCAAACGATTCTGAGCTCAAACAGTAAATGACTAAATCAAATGCATAACTTTCAGGTCTAACATATTCTAATATTAGGCAATTGAATAGGAAAATCTTAAAGATTATACCTTTACACTCTGCAAGAATTCGTCAATCAGAAAAGTGTTCCATTTGATACTATACAAATAATCTACAACATGGTTTCATTTTGAAATTTTATTTGAATTATGGGGTTGTGGAGATTGTTGTGTTAGCTTTTGATGAAATAATGAATCAATCAATGTTAGACCACCATTAGAAACCTCGAAGCACTGGACGGCCGTTTCATCCTGGCATGCGACTCATTAGTGGTCCAGAGGTTAGGCATTCGGGCGTACAATATCGAAGTTCCTGAGTTCGAATCCTGTGAGGTACAGGAGTCGTGGATGCGCACTGCGGATGAGTCCAATGCTAGGATGAAACCGCCGTCCAGTGCTTCCAGGTTTCTAATGATGGCCTAACATTGATCGATTGAAGATTTCAAAAATAAATTTTGTATTTGTACATTTTAAGGGTTTCATCAGTTTTAAACTAGAAAACAAATTTTACTTTCCATTTTAAACTATATTTGTCTGTTTAATTCTCCTTTATTGTGTCAATACGTTTGCTAGTTACAAAATGTTTTAGTAATATTCAAAATATAGTACCACTATTCAAAATTCAATATCTTCTTAACCAATAAGAAGATGGCATTCAAGTTACAATCTAAAATAAACTTCACAGAAAACATAAAATGCAGATATAACAATATTGAACTCATGAATAGTTTATCATAAGATGAAATAGATATTGAACAATGAAAGAAAAGAGGTTAATTTATAAAACTGAAGAAAAAATTCTGATCACAAAAGGAAAACAAATGAACGAAATGTTGACACTATGCACAACTTTGTTTTCACAACAAAAACACCCGTAGAAAAATTTTGTACATGACTTAGTTAATTAGAGATCATTGTAAATAAAATGTTTTATTTTCTAAATAGTGTTCAAGTAACAATCAATGTAAGCTTTCTACTTTAAGAGGGAAATTGTATCAGTCATTAAAAACAGATATATCATCGATTCATAAAATAAAATTAAGTAATACGTCTTATCTTATCCTGAGAATTTACTTTAAAAGATGTTGTTTACGAACAAGTTATAAGTGTTATTCAAAATACTATTTATGTTCAAAGTACAATATGATTCGATTCCATTCATGGATGATTTTAACCAGTACTTTTTAAAAGAATCAAAATTATGTATATCGTAATGCAGTAAACTATTTAGTTAATCAACTCCGTCTGGAGCCCGTCTGGATAAGGGAGAATGGTTGGACATGGGAGTTAGTGACTCCATCTCGTAGACATCCAACTCATAAGGAAAAAAATGTTAATCAGAATAATAATTTGCTGATTGAAGGGCTATACTTCATTAGGGGGTAACAGGAGTAAGTAAAAAAGTAAAAAGTACTATACATGTAAATTCTATAATAACAATAGCGTGATCTTTATTTTCAATTAACTTTGATAAAAATAATGTAGGATCCAAACTGAGGTTTGCACTGAGGAATAACTGTCTAGGTAGTTTAGAGATACGCGTCCTACACAGTTGATATCAAAACAAGTGATTTGGGTAAATGACGGTCTTAATATTCATCATAAATATAAATATACATTATTACCTAAACAAATATCACCACAGCTGTTCCACCAACAATTGTTCAATTATTCAAATCAACAGCAACAAATAAATGTTATTCTATCCCTTGTGGATAGATCAGATTCCTTCAAAACATAATATTTGGTTGCTTTATAACACAAAGTGTTTCTTATTCTGGAAGAGTGCTTCAATTCACAATCAGAATGCACAAATCAAGTCCATGCAAGCACCACGATCCAATCAAAAGATGAACAAATCAATATGTCTGTCACTATGACTAAGTATCAGCTTAAACAACATAATGCAGTTCAGAAAGAAACATAGAAACTCAGTGAAAGCAGAAGAAATAGAAACTATAATAAAATACAAATATTATCATCATCTCAAAATGGAATTGAACAGATTAACAAAATGTACAACTGAAGTAATAATCAATAAGGACAAATTACAAATGTATGTATACATGGAGGAATTTTCACACACAAAAGACCTTCAACGAATGGGTTTTACAAATAAGTTGTTATAAAAAAGCTTATTTAGTCAGTCGATTCAAATAAATTAGTCATGTCAAATAATTTTAAGTATGGATCGGTAATTATTTTTGTTATTGTAAACTATAAAATGATTAAAACATGGCATAAATGCATGAAGTCACTGACAAGTGGACTGAGTCATGTCGGTAGGTGTCGACTACGTGGTTAGGGTCCGCGAGATGTTAGCAATCGATGGTTAGAGTCGTTGAACCGTTTGCAATGGCGCAGGTGCATTTATTCATTGTGCTCTCTCAAATCTTAAACTTTTTAATCCCTCATCACCTCTATCTTTCCTCTTTTTAAGTTTATTTCACTAGTTTTTACTTTTTGACTAATATCTTCTAATCCTAACCTCTCTGACTACTGCTAATACCTCTCAACAACCTCTACTACTATTGGATTTGAATTGACAATAACATCTCTGTGCTAATGTGATATGGCAACATGAACTGATGTACGTGCGTAGGAAGTTCTACGTTGCTATTGATTGGTGGTTAATAAAATGACCGGTATTGATTATTCTATCATCAGTAAAGATTGATAATACTGTGTGTAATTATTAATTCTGATATTTCTTAACAAGATTGTATAAATGTACATATATAGTTTGTGATATACACAATTCATTTATAATTTGTTAGGTTGAGTATAAAAATGACATCATTCAACTAAACCAATGGTTTTGTACAACACATGATATATTTCAAACACTAGTTCTAGTCAACACGAGAGATTATTTAAAGATAATGAAGTTTAAAAAAACATGGATGTTTAAATTAACTGATCGATATGTTTTCTTTTTTGGAAAATTTGTCAATCTGAAAAATTGGTCTGATCAAATAAACTCAACTACATCATATAAACATATATAAAATTTTATATAAATACTTATTAGTCGGTAGAATTAACAGAAATTCAAAGTATTTAACATCAGTTATTTACAGTTTAAGAACATCTAGGTAAAGAATAAAGCAATGATTGTTAATTGTAAGTTTATTTCTGATGATATTTTAGATGTGTTTATTTAAAAATCCATTCAGAATTAAAAATTTAACAATAAAATTGACTCAAGTAAGGAGATTTTACACATTTGAAATCATCAATCAATCAATTATTGTTAGACCACCACCATTAGAAACCTGGAAGCACTGGACATCCGTTTTGTCTTGGTATAGGACTCATCATTGACAGTGCGTATCCACGACTCCTGCTCCTCACAGGATTCGAACCCGGGACCTTCAGTGTGGCGTGCGAATGCCTAATATCTGGACCACTGGGTCGGCATTCAACGGCTGCTAATGTCTAATTCTGATTGATCTAGGGATTTTGCACAACCTCTTTCATATGCCTTTCGTAGTTACTGCTTATACCCGACAGGGTTGATCACATCTTATGTATTTGTATTTCTTTTCATTAATATATAGGTATGTCATAAAGCTTATACACAATTTAGTAATTTATGCCGACATAAACGTTTGCATAAATGTTGTCGACAAAAATCAAATTGTTTATCATGTGGACATCAATTTGCAAATAGTTATTCATTATTAAAACATCAAATTTTAACTTCATGTCATAATAATGTTACTTTAAACAACACTATTCCTACTGAAAAGAGTGTTATTTTGGATAAAAAGTCCAACTCATCGAATTGTCACAGTTCATATCATCATAAAAAATCAATATCTTATCATACAAAACATTTAACAGAATTAAAACGTAATGAATATGATAAGAAATGTAAAAGCAGTGATTTAAATTCATTTCATTTAAACAATCATTCATTAAAAACTAATATTCCTAATGATGATTTAGGGTCACAAATGCATAAAATTGATACATTTTCTAAAGATAATGAGAAATTGCAACAAATTAAAAAATCCACAAAAAATTATCATCATTTAAAAGATTCATCATTCACATTGAAACATGTGAATACTGTTGATGGCATCAGGAAATCAATGAATTTGAATGAAACACTTTCAAGAAGAAGTGATATGATTGAGAACGATAGAAGTGATTGCATGTAAGTTATTGTGGTTGAATTTCTACATTATTTTCTACTGATTATTATCAAAATGTACTTTTAATTTGAGGGTATTTTTGAATTTGAACTGACACTGATATGGGGTGATAGCTGAATCATGTTGTGAAGTGATTAAAATGTAAAATGTGTAGAATTGTAGTGCTGCTTTGGAAATAAATTATTTACTTATTATTATCTTATGGCTGAATAAATTGCATTACGGGGTTGTGAAGATTGTTAAGTTATACATTTGAAATTATGAATCGATCAATGTTTGACCACCATTAGAAGCCTAGAAGTACTGGATGGCCGTTTCGTTCTGGTATGGGACTCATCAAGCAGTGCGTACTGCTTATCAGTCCCATAGCAGAACGTAACGGCCATCTATTGCTTCGAGGTTTCTAATGGTGGTCTAACATTGATCGATTTATGATTTCAATGAGTGACTTCACAATCTTCACAACCCCGTTATGCAATTACCTGTCCTCACTAATAACTATCTCCGTGAGGAATCTTCTCCGAGTTCCAGTGAGAAATTGTGACCAGTGAAGTTCAACCTGTTCGGGTATAGACAGTAACTGCCGAAGACAGTGTATGAGGTTGCGGAAGACCGTGAATTGATCGAAGTAAGACATTAACACCGTTTGATTCCGGCTCAGTGGTCCAGAGGTTAGGCGTTGGCGCATAAGACCGAAGGTCCTGGGTTCGAATGCCGTGGGGCGCACGAGTCGTTGATACTCACTACTGATGAGTCCCATACCAGGACGAAACAGCCGTCCAGTGCTTTCATGTTTCTAATGGTGACCTAACATTTATTGATTCATGATTTCACACTGAATAAATGTAAAAATTCCTGTTCCATAAGTATTCACAAACACGCAAAGTGTCTGAACACTATGTTCAATCAAATATATCTAATCATTCTGAAATAATATAATTGCTATTTGTTATAGATAACTAATATTTGGAATAAAAAATTTTCTTTCTGATTTGCTTTTATGAAGATTTCTAAATCCATAGTTTATAAACGTTCAATGTAATCTGTTTACGAAATTGGAGTCAAAATAACTTCAGCTGATTCATATATTATTATCCAGCAAGTATAATGTTTGGTTGAAATTTTCAATTTCAATCACTTCTCCAAATTGTGTAACTCTTGTTTGATAACATCAATGATTCCCGCTTTCATTTATATCATGATGGAACCTTATCAACAGTTCATCTCTTGGAAAAGGACTATACTAACAATGATAAACTGTTGATTTATGAATATTGTTCTATATTACAAATTTATCAAATGATCTTAACTTATTAATCTGTAGGTATTGCACGTCTAACTTTTGATAGTTTTGCAATAAATGTTAGTATAAGAAGAATACTGGTCGGGTTATCACATAATAAATATTAAAAACATGTGCCCTGAGTATTTTCTTACTTACTTACTTGCTTTGGCCTGTTACACCGAATGGAGCATACGCTGCCGATCATCATGGTTTGAATTATTTGTTCTGCTTAGCGTATTTTTAAGCAAGTTTGCTTTCTACGAGGTGAGAAAGCCGACCCCTTACTCAAACCCCCTCTTTTATCTGAGGCTGGGACTTGCAGTTTTCTAGGCAGAGTTCCTGAGTATTCTCATAGTAATAAAACTGGTTTTGTATTATAGTACGTATGTAATATAATCAATGCTCACTTTTATCAGTAAAACATAGTAATTTCAAGTTCCTTATACTGTCAATAGTTTTAACCAATGAACAATTGTTTAATAAATAAAAAGTAAGATTTACTTCAATAATAGATGTCCCCTCTTATTTGTATTTAACAATCATAAATATTTTGATGATTTTAAGACTCTTCAGCTGATACATTTTCTAGGGTGATGTCAGTGTTATTAGCGAGAATTAAATTTTTCTTTCATTCAATTAAACATTAAATCATTATATCCAAAGGAATTATTGATTATTTATTGGGGAAGTTAGATCCCCAGAAGTCACTCGGCAAAGGTCCTAATTTTGGTTTATTGTTTTTTCGGGCATAAGTTGCTTAGTTGACCTTGAGATTACATTACATTGGTTGATGAATTATTCTAGTACGCTATTTTTGTGGCTCTCCGAATGATGTTTCTATCATGTATAACTAAGCTCAATTTGTGTGCTTGTCGAACTCATATTTTCTGGGTGCTTGTAGAATACACTTCCTATGCCCTATCAAGACTTTTTGATATAGTTAACCCGAGTCGGGGACAACGGATTAGAATAGCCTATCGTGTCACTACATCATTTGTGTTCGCTCTTGTTCACCGAATAATAGCATTCAAGCATATCAGTTGACGAGCATATCAATTTTATGCACTAAATCTGTTAACTTGTCAGGATTTGTGTAGATCCGTTAACTGACATTATATTGGCTGTTGTGAGTTGCATTACACTTAGATTTACTGATCTGTTGTTATCACATAATAACCAGATGAATGTTTGAATTTATCAATAAACACTATTCAAACTTATTTTGTTAATGACTTCCTGTCCATTTGAATTTAGCCTTAATATACTGGGTTATTTCACGTTGTATGTCTTCAATTTCTGTTCTTATTATTAAAGCTACTTTCTTCGCATTAATTAAGCTTTGCATTAATGTGACAATACCGAAGGTCTCGGGTTCGAATCCTATGAGATGCAGGAGTCGTGCCACTGATGAGTCCCATACCAGGACGAAATGGCCGTCTTTCAGTGCTTTCAGGTTTCTAATGATGTGGTCTAACAATGACTGATTGATGATTTCAAATGTGTAAAACCACTAATCTCCATAATTCTAATTGAAAATGTGATAATTAATTGGAAAAAAATTTCAGGAATGTTTCCAGTGTTTTTGTTAGAGAATGTTATGATTTTCTGTGTTTAAATAATTTAGATTTTTTTATACTTGATATAGAAAAAGTAAAACAGGGAGGCGCATGTCAGGTATCTCATTTTCATCTAAATTTTCTTAATTATAAGTTAATCAACAGTTTATGTTGTAAGTCAATCATTTAAAAACTGAGATCTTAATCATTGAAACATAATTTTTAGCGATTTAATAGTATCTCTAACTGTCATCCAACAAATATTATCCAAGCTCTGTTGTAGAGATTTTGTATTTGGTTACAGAGTTACATGATATTTTACAATTCAATACTTTTCAAAAACGTTCATTATGAAGTTTCATGAGCTGGTTCAGTTTCTTTCCATCTCAAATTAACCTAAAATTAATGTACAAATGAAGGTAGGAAACATTATCGACTTACCCCTGAAAGTTGAGGTCTACGAGACATTAGTCACCGATGGTTAGAGACCTTAAACAAAATGGCTCAAAATTATTTGCGGTGGCGTTGGTGCATCCATTCTTTGTGTTCTCTGAAATTATAATCTCCCGATTTCTTCATCTTTCTCTTTCCAAATTGATTTCACTGAATTATACTTTTTGAATAATACTTTCGAATCCTTATCTTCTCCATCACCAGTAATACTTCTACTATCTCTACCACTATGAGATTCGAACTGATAGTTGCGTTTCTGTGCTATTGTGGTATGGCAACTTGAACGAAAATTACAGAGTTACTCAGTAAAATCGGAAAACCATATCGTTAATTGTTCATTTGCAAAATATCAGTTCATCATATTGAACTGGACTGTTCCTGTTGCAAAACATCAATCCATTGTCACTATTCATGCGTTTCATACAAATTCCATTGTGTTCTAACTCTTCGTTTCTTGATCTTCCCCCATCTTCTGGTGCCAGACATTACGTTGACGCTCACGTCATATACTACTTATAAGTAGCTCGCACCACAATAGTACTAAACAGCTCAATTTAGTGAATTGGAAATATATTAAAGTATGATTCATTCTTGCCTCCTTTCTGTACAATTAGTCAAAATGCTCCCATCTATTAAAATACCTACTTTGTGACAGGATTACAAAACAAGGATACTGACTGATATTTTAATATAAGTGAGGACAAAGAATACTTCATTGTTCATCGACCTAACTCACTTGTACTACATTATTCTTTCCTACAAAACATTATATTGCTTCAATACACAACTTCATTCCATAGTGATATACATTAATTTAACCGATTATTGAAGTTAAAATTTAAACACACACCCTATTCCTTGTGTTCAACTGAGTTTAGCAAAACAAATCATTGTTTAAAACAAAACATTTACATTCCAATCATTGTACATCAAACAATCAGCACTGGATCAAAACACTTGATTTGTTTAAATTCGATCGATATTCAATTCATTTTATTGATAAATCAAACTTTATATTTTCCTTTTTTTAAAATTACTTGTAACATTTGTGACTTATTTCCTATTTAGAATGAATGGTGGTAAAGATCTAAAGACAGAAGAGATCAATTTCACAACACTTAGTCATAAGTTGAATAATGATGAATTTAAAAAAATCAATACTTCTTCAGATCCAATAGATTTATCTCATTCAAACAGAGATGAAAAAGTAAACACTGAAAATTATTCCCACATCGCAATTTCAAATAGAAGAATGATTGAAGAGGAGTTTGATTTAAATAAGGTGCCGCCTTCTAAATCATTTATTAACACAAATAAACAATTGATCAAATCAGATACAAAGAATACTACTACAATTACATTTATGAAAAAAAACACTATACATGATGATAATGAATTTCAATACCTTTATAGAATTGCAAATCTTGCAATGTGTACTACACCTCAACAATGTTGGACAAAATCTATGAATCATGAAAAACAACAACAACAACAACAACAACACATTGAAAACTTTAACATTGAACATTGTACCAATGAGCAGTCATCATGTATAAAACGTTTATCATCATCAACTATTATTTCTAATAATAATAATGATGATAATTTGACAAGATATTCTTCATTAATTTCATCACATAATTTTTTATATGAAAATTATTATACATGTAATGTTTGTTTTAAAAAATTTCCACGTGCAGCTAATTTAAATCGACATATACGTACACATACAGGTGAACAACCATATCAATGCCCACATTGTGATCGATTATTTAGTATTTCATCAAATATGCAAAGACATATAAGAAATATACATAGTAGAAGTAATTTATTCTTTAGAAATTTCAAATAATATTTAAAAACTGACTAAGGAAAAGAGATCTGTTGGTGCCAATCTTAAGAAAAAAAAATCAATTCGTCGTCATTAGTGATTTGATTCGTACGATTACGAACAAACAGTATTCTTTCCTCGAAAAAATTGTTATACAAATGCACATTATAAATAAATTTATTACAGCTATTTAACATTTCACAATACATGAACTACTTTAACTTACAATAAATAGTTCATTAGTATTATGCATAAATGTTACAAAATGTTGGGGATGTTAGATCCCCCAGAACTCGCTTGATAAATATCTTTATTTTGGATTTATTTTATGGACCGATCAGTTGACCTTGAGATCACATTTCTCGCCAGGAAAATCCTTGGCTGTGATTGGTTATTGTGTCATTTTAGTGTGCTATTTTTGTGACTGTCCCAAGGACGTCTCTATAGAGCATAAATAAACGCAATTTGAGTGCTTGGATTCATTGTGTGTGCTGGCTGGGTGTTTGTAGAATATAATTTCTATACTATATCAAGACTTCTTACTTATTCAGTTTGGTCAAGGGATCACAGTAGCCTACCTGAACGCTGCTTGATTGTTTTGTTCTCCTTATTCGACTAAGGTGAACTCGTAATAGTTTAAGCATACCTAGAGACGAGCGTAACAATTTGGCGACGGCGTTTTGACAAACGATCTGGTGAATTATGATGGATACAGCTAAATTAGATAAATTGTTTGCACAACAGCTGAAATTGATGGAGATACTTACTCAGAAGCACAGCTCTTCTCAAGTCTCATCTACACCGACAATTCCTCAGTCAGTTGATGGTATAACCAGTGGTATTTGAGAGTTTATTTATGATCCTAACGCCAATATTACATTTGATACTTGGTTCAGGCGTTATGAAGACCTCTTCAAAGTTGATTTTGTTGACAGAGATGATTCCTGGAAGGTGCGTCTTCGCCTCGTGATGGTGGTGTTTGGTTCTCTGAGCTAGGTGTTTTGGTTGTGGAGCTTTCATTGTTCTTCTGAACAACATCATCAGCACAAACTTCAGATAGAAGAAGTGAAGCATTCGAATTTCTCCACGTTTGACCCGCAGCTTGTTCTGCTAACCTCGATCTTGATTGGTTGCTGTTGACCTTAAACCTGTCGTTGTTTGCACCTTTGTTTTGATTGCATCCCCCTTTTGATTGATAAATTGGGTCAATGTCGATGTGTTTGTTGATTGCTGATTGACCTAATTGCTAAGCTTCTAAAAATTCTCTAGTCTTCTTTGTCCTCCCCCTACCCAGTATTTCCACATTGTTCCAATCGAATGTGTGTCCATAATTGTCGGTGTGTACTGATATAAGCGAAGCGTTCTCGTGGCGTTTGACTGCTAATTGGTGTTCACGTAAACGAAGCTGAAGAGACCATCCACTTTGTCCTATGTAATGTTTTTCACAGTTTGAGCAATTTATTTTGTAGATGATATTTGGTTTTTCTTCTTTTGTCATTTTGTCCTTTGGTCTACGTAGGATTGATTGAAGTGATTCTGTTGGTTTGTATGCCACACCTATTCCAAATGTTTTCAGTAGTAGTGCTGTATGCTCCGATATGTTTTTGATGTATGGCAGGATGATCCGTTTATTGATTCCTGTGCTTCTCCATAGGAAACTTGCTCTGTCAGAACTGGACCAGTATTGCAACTACATCCTGCCACAGACCTAGAGACAAGTGTAACACAAAACTCATTGAATAATATTCAGTTTTATTCATACATATGAAAACAATGAACAAGAGTATGTATCAAGGTTGATCGTTTCAAATGAATTATACATTAGATAGAATATTGGTGATATCTCATTGAGTGTAAATTTGTATTTCTGATATTTCGTGATTAAATAACCGAAAAAAATGGATACTAGTTTTATATAGTAAAAAAGAAACAAAGCCTTTCTACCGTTACTTGTTTTGATATATAACCATGTCCTCAAGTTATTAATTCGTTCCTAAGCATCATTATTAACCTGTCTATAGTTTCATAATAAACTTAAATGTAAGATTTCTAGAAAACTTCTATCAACTCTTGTGATTTCACTTTGTTTTCACTTATTTTTTTAGGTTTTATTCAATTCAAACTTTTCTCATTCTTAAGCTACTTAATCACTAATAATGGATCACAAGGTACAGATTTCAGTGCAGTGTATCATAGAAAGAAATATGAAAACATCATGTATTTTTGACGAACGCAAAAGTTCCATAGTAATCAACAATTCATAACACTTTTATATTTTAGGTTAATAACCTAAGAAATGTAGCTTATCAGAGAAACACTTGAATTTTCTTTGAATGAAGTTAGACATTAACATCGTTAGATACCGGCTAAGTGGTCCAGAGGTAAGGCGTTCGCGCACAAGACTGAAGGTCCTGAGTTCGAATCGTGCCGGGTGCAGGAGTCGTGGATGAGCACTTCCACTGATGAGTCCCATACCAGGACGTAACGGCCGTCCATTGCTTTCAAGCTTCTAATGGTGGTCTGACATTGGCATTTAGCATAATCGATATTACACTTAAGTTTCAGTGTGTGATATATCTAGCTGACAAGTAGCGAATAGGATGAGATGAACGTTTTGTATTCTACCAACGTCCACAATCCAAATTTACTGAGACTTTCATTTTAAATATGATTGAAAAACGTCTTGTTTTTAACGACTTATCGCTTAAAAATATTTACTTAAACCTAATTTAATAAACTTCACTAGTTCTTATTCGCTAGAAAATTCCAAGCACTGATTTGTGGTTATAAGGATTTTGAAGAAGGTTTATAAAGTTTCTGTCTCATACTACTTAAATGTGAGGAATTCCATAATGAACCTATGAGAAAATTCATCACCAGCTATTGAAACTTATCAAAATACAGTAGTGTAAACACAAAATAAAATTAGATATTATCAGAATGCATACAAAAGTTTATTAATTCTGTTTGAACTCTTAAACTGTTAGATGTGAATCTTCAAATTAATGCGTATTTCAAATATTCTTCTATATTAGCTAAAGCATTTAGCCAACAGAAGTTAAAACCAACTTTGATTTAAATACTGTGTTTCGTTGTGCAATACAAAAACCGTTATCATCAAACTTTAACTTTACTAAAGACGTACCTCTTTCTACTTTTTTTTCGAGAATGTAAAGAAATTCTAAATGGCTGACAAAGATTTTGTTTCTACTTCTTCGTTATTGTGAAATTATATTCGAATTACTAAAACTAAGTAGCAGTGGACACCGTCAGTGACATTGAAAACTGAATCATTTATAGACTTGTAGTGGAACACTTCTACGAAGAAAATGCGATTTGTGAAAAATAAACATTATTGTTTAACTGTACCAAAAAACACTTCTTGCGCTGCTGCCATTTTTCATAACGTGCTGCTCTCTATGTAATGCCTACTTTCTCCTTCAATAAAATATTCAAACATGGATTTATTTTTGGTTTAAATGACGGGATAGTATGGAACATTTAGTGGTGATCATAGTCAATCTCAACTCGGTCACTACTAAAGACTATTGATGTTTCTTATATTCATTACCTTTAAATAAGTGCATTAAGAATGGGCTTAATAGTTTCTGAATTAGAAAAATTATTTTTGTAACATTGAACGATTTCTTCTTGGTAAATTTGTGGTGTGAGCTACTTATAAGTAGTATATGACGTGAGTGTCAACGTAATGTCTGGCAGCGGGAGATGAGGAAAGATCAAGAAAGGAAGAGTTAGAACACAATGGAATTTGTATGAAACGCATGAATAGTGACAATGGATTGATGTTTTGCAACAGGAACAGTTCAGTTCGATATGATGAACTGATATTTTGCAAATGAACAATTTACGATATGGTTTTCCGATTTTACTGAGTAACTCTGTAATTTCGCTAATTAATTATTAATCGTATTATCCTTCACATATTTTTTCTTCTAAAATGGATTACGTATTTAAAGCATTTGACTTGATTATTGCTAAACTAAAGAACTAACTAGTGACAAACTTGTATCATCAAAGAAGAATGAAGAAGTTATTTTTTGAATGGCGGTTGTAGGCTATAACTGACGAATTTCAGTTATCTTAAAACATTATCACAGGGACATACAGTTGCTAAAAATGACATTTCTCAAAGAGGTGCAAAGAAAAATAGGATTGAGCACTAGGAAGTGACATCAGGTAATAAGATAAATGTAGAATCTATTTTTTGAAAGTGATATGTTCTCTGACCTACATGACCTACAATTTCATTGTCTTTCTCGATAACAACATTTCTAGACACTTCATTCAAAAATAAGCTATTACATTTTCTTCGTTCATGATGAGGTGCTTATTTTTTAGGAATGACAGTGCTGCAAGATCAGACAACATTCCAGATGAGACACAAAAATCAAATATAGAAGTAACTGCAAAGATACTCCACTCTCTCTTCAGCAAGGTATGAGAAGAAGAACAAGTAATAACAGACTAGAAGTAAAGACTCCTTATCAAGATACCAAAGAAAGGAAATCTCAGTAAGTGTGAGGACTATAGAGGCATCACTGTTCTCTGAATAGTAGGAAGAGTCTTCAACAGAGAGTTGGTAAACCGAATAAAAGATTTAGCTGACGTACAACTTCGAGATCAGCAGGCTGAATTCCGTAAGGATCAATCGTGAACCGACCAAATCACAACATTATGCATCACTGTGAAATAATCAGTTGAACGGAATCTATCACTCTACATAAACTTTCTTGTCTACGAGAAAGAATTTGATAGCATGGACAGGATAACACTTTGAAGAGTTCTTTCCCATTGTGGTGTACCTAAGAATATAGTTAATATTGTAAGGAATTCTTACAACGGACTTTGCTACATAATCCTGCATGGATGACAGCTTACAGACTGGTTACGGGAGGAGACCGGTGTCAGTCAAGGTTGTTCATCCTCAACCTTTCTGTTTATCCTGGTGGTTGACTGGATTAGGAAGACGTCGATATTGTGGGGGAAGCACGGAATACAGCTGGACGGCTGAGATTCAGTGCGTTGTTTTTAACTCTAAAAATGATTTAGAACCTGTATCCTGTGTACAACAACAAATTCATGGAGAAAGCTAGATCATTAGATACAATATAATATACACCAACCAAATCACGCTTGATGGAGAAGCTTTGCAAGATATGGGAACTTTTGCATAGCCGGGCAGAATCACTGATAAACAAGATGGATTTAATGGAGATGTGAAGACACGGGTTGTTAAATCAAGAACAGTATTTCTACAACTGAAGAACATCTGGAACTCAGAAACACTGTCAACGAATATCCAAGTCAGAATTTTCAGTACAAATGTCAAGAACATCTTATCATTAGAGTAGTGCAACTTGAAGAACCATAAAAACCAACATCGGAAAAATAACGGCGTTTAAAAACAGTTGTCTAGGCAAAATACTGCGGATCAGTTGACCAAATACCATCACCAATGATTCACTGTGTGAGACAGTAAACCACATCTAGCTGAAGAGGAAACTAGGAAAATGCTCTGGAGTTGGATAAGACACATACTGCGAAATTCCTCAAATTGTATGACAAGAAAAGCCTCTCTTTGTGTTTGTGTGTTTGTACCTTCGTACATTATTATTATTATTATTGTTATTATTCCACGGTTCGTTTGAATTTCAGATCCAAAATATTTGTTTGCGCTCATGAAGTTATTCCGGAATTCAGTGCTGGTCTATACGTGACTATTATAGTATAAACTAGGATTTTCTGGGTGTTACTAGTTAGTATACGGAATACAATTACTCGTAATCATCACACTGGCATCGAGGGGTAGCCAAAGCTTGGACAGTTGGGCGGGAATCTCTTTGCAGACTACATACAGAGGTTTGAAATATGATATGTATGTGACCAGGAAAGATGACAGAGATGAAGAAATTGTGGCTCATTTCATTACAATCATCAGAAAGGATGCCTGCGGTTTCTTTGAAAGTTTTTCGTTTCAAAAAAACCTGAAGCTGTTAAAGAACTACTCCTAAATCCCATAAAGTGTACAAACTTCGAATACCGTACAAGATCAAAATTCTACATGGTGATTCATCAAAATGACCACTGAGTTAATTTTGGAACTACAGAAAGAAGCCGCCAAATTTAAATTCAGTGACGAAATTCATGTTTGGCTGAGTGATCAAATTGTTATAAATACAGATATCACAAATTTATAAACAGAAGCTGATCCAAATGCTGAAATGCTTCTTTTTGCTGCTGAAAGTGTGTGTTAATTATGGGCCAGCTAGAGAGACTGACTTGCAATATAAAGCATTCCACCACATTACTTAGTTGTCCTTAACCGACTAGTGCTCAACGTCATGTCAGCAGTCGCCTGATTAATGATAAACTTAGTTCTCATGAGAACATTAGAAAGGATTCATCAAAGAAACTCAAAAGAGTAAACGAAGTTTGGCATAAGTTTTGTACCTGTTTATCGTGTTATGAATTCTTTCCTCAGAATTTACGAACATTTCATTATGTCGAATGCTTTGAGTGTGGTAAATACGACATATCAAGTCAGTTTGTAAACCTACTTTTCACTTCATCACCCCAGTTTGATTCTTCTCACAAAATATTATCTGCATCTACAACTTTGGAGGGTATATCTCACATTCAGAAGCAATTATAAACCTCAGTTGGTTCATCCCGTTATTTTGTTGTTGAATCAGGTAGTACAGTGTTTATTTTTCCTTCTTCAACTTAAAGTTTTTAGATTCTATTGTCACGGTACGACCTACGATTGTTTCAATGCCAACGAATACCCGAAACAAATTTCCTATACAAGGGTGTTGTGAATTGTTAAGCAGAGATGAAAGCTCTTTATATACATTATGTTAAATTTTAGTAAATGAACTAAGACTGTTCTACTCTTCAAAAATGTAGAAAGGCCAAGGAGGAAAACCATCTTTATGAGCTGTAGTGATTTCACTTTCACGAAAAATCATTATTATAACCAGTTGTACCACTGACCGTTTTACCAAACATTTGGTTTACTCTCACTTCCTTTGTACCGAATTTGCTTCGGCGCAGTCACAATCTGGCATTTGTTGCCCTGTGCCTTTCACCCGATTCTCTGGCATAATTTAGGTATTCCTTGAAAACTACGAACTCGCCAGCAAATATACCTATATCATCTAGACAATCCTAGGCTCGTTTCTTATTAATTCTTGACGGGATTATGCT